GATTAATATTTGTGAAAGGTAGTAGCAGCATTGATTTGCACCATGGTTAGCCACCTGGGAATTACATACTGTACTATACATTAACTAAGCTTAGAGACTGAGGATGATAATGATGATAAAGTTAAAAAATAAGGAAAATCAAAACCAAATCTCAAGACAGCAGACATTACTGAAATCTACAGAACTCCTGGGAGATAAACCGGGTCTAATTTTACTGTATATAACACAGTGGTCAGGTTTCAATTTAGTTGAAGCAAAAAGCAAGACAATTATCATTTGGGCCCCAATATCTACTTTGATTTGAAAACTCTAAGTAGTCAAGGCAGAAACATTTTATTTGTTTACATCAACAAAATAATTCCCTTTGTGTATAATTCACTATTTGTATATATTCCTCTGTATGTGTGTGTGTTTGTGTGTAGGTAGGTAGGTAGATCTGGCCTATTGTGTAAACTAATAGAACAATTGCATCAGTTAAAAAACAGATTATTTGCATTTCTTTTTGATGTTGAGCTTCACTAATTTCACACTAATAAACACACTGAATGGCTACAAATATGACCTATAAGAAAAGACTTTTATTAGTGAAAACAGCATTAAAATTACTGAATATCAACTCTAGAATTTTACCACAATGTTTCAGTTTACATGGAACAATGATGGAAATATACATTGCAATTCTTAGTAGGGAGAACAGAGCTTACTATGATTTTCAAAGACTTCCATGAGTAGGGTCCACTGCACAGCATGGCTTCCTTAGGCTGTTAACCAGCAGCATATGACATTATCTAGTATTTGTGAGGTGCCAACTAAGAGAAATATATTGTTTGGGAACTTTAGAAGACTATTTCCTTCCAATAGCTAATTTGGAAGAGATACTGTATACTTTTTCATTACATTTTCATATCATCTCTCTGAAAGCCTTATTGATGAGCTTTTTAAGTTAAACAAGTAATTTCTCATTTTTGATGTATTATCAAAATCACCAGAACCTCCATTTAACCAGCATCTACAAAAGCAAACTAAGGTGGAGGGCTAATTCTTTCCTGGTCCTGGGTTCTACAGTCAGTGGATCTGGTAATTATGATTTAATAAAAAATTTGAATCTTTTTATTCTCAATAGCAATTATTTTGCTCAAAGTATTCAAGTAGTTGCCTCGGAGCCCCTCTTCATTTTCCCTCTGTAGACATAAGAACAACAGGCTAAAAATAATCTTTAAAAAATTAAAAAGTCATAATATTTCATATAAGATAGACAAGACAGTTTGCTTTCCTTGATTTCTCCTTCTAAAATGCAATCTCATCAACCAGTGGAAACTAAAACAAAATGAAATTCAAAATTAGATTAAGGGTAGTTTCGTAAAAAATAAGTTATTAAAATTCATTTAACCTCCCATTTGCTTTTAATTTAACAAAGGACAGATTCCCCAGCAAATCTAAAATTGAGGGTTAACAATTACCAGGTGAACTTAATATATGTTGCCAGTTATTCCTGGTAAGTGAAGCCACAAACAGGATATTTTACTTCAGCCCATCTGACCATAGTGACTAATTGAATGAGCACTGGAAATGAAGCCAAACCTTCATTTGATACACTCTTCTACATAACTGAGTCTGAGACTCAAAGCCCTGTGCTCAGTACTCATAAATAACTAAAATAAGTCACACAATCACGTGATGTATATCCTGTGATACATAAAACATTTAGTCCAAAAGTACACGCATGTGCTATCTGTACTGTTCACATCTTCAGCATAGCTAGGTATAGACATAAGGCCACAGCAATCTTAATTTATATTCTCCCTCCGTTTCCCTCTCTCTTTACATCTCTTCCCATAAGGAAGCACGCCTTAAATCCACTTTATTGGTCAATACAGTCTGCATATAATTTTTGCTGCCCTCAAATTAACCATAATGCAATTGGTTCATTTTTCTCAACCACAATAACTCTGGTAAAGTGATGGATTGATGATTTTGGTCATCTTTGAAAGAACCAGTTCAAAATCACAATCCACCCCATAAATGGGTAACTAACCTGTAACCAGTCAACCTGGCCATGGATTATAGAGGTCCTGAAGTTATTCTAAAAGTATTTGAATGGATAGTTAAGATTGAATATTAATATTTGCTTATGTGCAGTTATGTCAGATTCCAACTGATTACTGGGAATCGGCAAGAATCAAAGCATGTTGATCTTGGCATTGTCTGACTTTTCTCCAAAGAGGCTGTTAGTGGAAAGAAACACAGATTGCAAAGATGTTTGAAAAGAAAGCATCTCTTAACATAGATTTAGCATAAAGTTGAATACAAACAGTACTCTAAAGCTCTATGTCTTACCCTCAAATCTAGGTGAAAAGATCAGTTTGGTTACCACTTTATTTCTTCTGAAAAATAATGGAAAAGTAAATATATTTAACAAACTGTGGCTTCAGAAATACCATTGTAGTAAACAATTTTATTAATACTTTCATAAAAAGGGCATTTAATAAATTCTCTCTAATACCTTGATGTTATTAAAAGCAAACAAAAGTCATTAAAACAGTTTCTTTCTGTGATTTACATTAGCTTTTGTAGCATTACTTGATTTTTGTCTTATAAACTAACCTGAAAGACTAATAATCAAATCAGGGTAAAAACAATACAATATGTTTTCTTTACTTTATTTCAAAATAGTGATTATAAATACATTCTTAATATATTTTCTCCCCAGCTCTTTGGATGCGACAATAACAACAACAAAAAAAACCTCACTGTGCTCATTTCATACAATGTCAATGTACAAATCATGCAAAAGAGATTATAGATTAATATTAATGCCATACATTTCTAGATGTGTTCTGTTATTTCTGCAATACCTGTTGACATTATTTATGAGGCCATGCCCTGTATAATATATGCATCCTTACGGCTTAAAGAAATGTTTTAAAAAAGCAAGAAAAGAAAGCTGGTCTTAAATGATTTTCTAATTAATATTTTTATTCGGTTAATTATTAAGATGGAAAACTAAATATAGAATATAAATTGCCTTATAGACTTGAATCACTGCATTTTAATAGCTGCTTTCCCATAAAATTACACAAAGATTTACTTTTAAAGAATTGAATCATCTTTATTGATTTCATAAAAAAATAATTTAAAACTTGATTTATATTACATGGACATAATATATTATCTCAACCCCTTCACTGATTTTGTATGATCTATTTTTCTTTGCAACCATTCTAACAGAGTCCAAGCACATGGTACAATGCCAAGAAGCCCACAAAGTGTCAGACCACATTAGAAATGAGCATTTCTTGGATTTTTCTAGATCTGAATCAAATTCTACTAAAAATGCTGTACTTACATATAGATATCATTCTTCAAGGGGTTAAACTAACATCAAGGTTATGCTTGAAGCCAACAAAATGTAGATACAGTATTTTAACTGCTCTTTCACTCAGCTCAAAACTTATGCCTAACTACATTATCATAAAATGTACAAGTAGAACTAATGAAAGACAGGTGCAAAATAGTATACACTGTATCATGTAGGCACAATGACTTTAGTTAAGGAAAATATATCAGCCTTAACCAAGGATTTGTTACTATCATTCACTTACAATTAGAACCTCCAATAACCACATACATTTAAATTATTTTTTTTTAAATGTTGAACATTTACAACTTTCAGCAGAAGAGTATGAGATAGCCAATACGCTACAGCAAGATTTGAGATGGTGGCAGGCACTCTTGCCATTGACCTCTCTGCAGAAACCTTGAAACAGCTTCAAAGCATCACCACACTGAATAAAAGGCATCATGCCAATGACCTATTATCCCCAGATCATGGATGGAGCTTTCCGGTTCCTCCCATAAGTGTCTACTTAAGATTCCTCAATCCATACTTTATTGACAGGATAAACTAAAACACTTTCTTTGAAGCCTTTGCATCTTTATCCTGTCAGTATGCATTAGGAGCCCTTTAATCCATGAATGCATGCAAGCATGGTAATGGCATATTAAAAGTCCTTATGAAACTGTAGATGAAAACAGGCTGTTGTTGGGCACACATCTTCAGGTCTTTTCTTTCAAGATCAGAAAGCAAGTATTTGTTTGTATTTTTTTTAATATTCATATAAAGTTTTCACAGACATTGTCATGAAAAATAAAATTACACATTAAAGTTTTAAGAGCACCAGCACATACATATGGAGACAATTTTTTTGCTATTTAAAAAAAATCTCCAAATTATTTATACGTATGTATACACACACACACACACACACACACACACACACACACACCCAAGAATGCCAAGTTGTTTATTTTTTATCTTGGAACAAACATAGAAAGCCCTGAAATTAGTAATCAATAAAGGGATTGCTATTACAACTTTAACCATAATGTTATTTTTGGAAGCTGCACCAAAACATCTGCCACTTGAAATTCATGAAGTATGTCTATGTTTACCTTCTTGGTCATCTTACTGCTTAATACAGTAATTATAGTAGATGGAGCACAAAAAATATACATATGCAGGCAGGCCAAGAAGGCAATGTGTCTCGGGATGTCACTCCGCTAATCAGGAGCTCCTAAAAATCTTCCAGTATCTCCCATTATCAAGGTCTTCCTTCCTTTGACCAATTTGGACTAGAAGTTAACAGCACAAGCAAACGCAGTGGCATACCATTTGTAGTTGCAGACTGAACTGATTTGAGACCAATGAAAGCATTTTACAGTGTGTTTTTGATAGCCGAGATTACCATGATGTTTACTGTTCTACTTGATTATCTGATAGTAGTCAGAATGATGAAAGAACAGGATACTGATGCAGACGAGATATAACTATTAACCTTACTCATTAATTTTTTAAATATTTGTAGTGAAAACTATTTGAATTAAGCTCATAGAATCCTGAAAAGCAAGACAACTGTTGTCAAATAACTGCCCCAGACACAATACTATAAAACTAAGGAACCTATTTTAAAATGCACAGTTGGTAACAAATCTGAATATGCTAAATTCCCAAGAATAGCACAGAACTGTTTTTTTGTATTTTTGTCTGTTTTTGGGGTTTTTTTTGTCTGTTTTGTTTTTAAATTATACCTGATCACAATGTCCAGAATATTTCTGTACACATAAGCTTCAGTTTCGGTTTGGTATACATTTTCTGTCTAAATTTATACTTATTGATAAATTCCCTGTGATCAGGAAAACAATTCAGGCATCTTAAATACATATTAAGGAGTACATATTTTCCTATTTAGTATACAAAGTACTTCATAAATATGAATTATGTTACAAAAATAGCTTTGGGTGCGCTCACACGGTAAGCACTTGGCTAATTTTGGACAACCTTTAAGGATTGTGGGTATTTCACATAACTGAGAACAAACTCTAATGTTAGTTAATTTGAGCCATGTTTAATTCTGATAAACATCACGTATTTCTTCAGATCACCACAAACGCTATGTAACTCACATTGATTTTTTTTCTCTTTTAGGTTTTATGTATAGACAGGTAATGCTTAAGGTGTTCAAATTTATTTTATACTTATGTAATGCATGGTATATTTTAAACAAATATTTGCACAATTTTACATTATAAATCCAGCGGTTTCAAGATGCAGGCCATAAAGGTTACCGATTTACAAATACTATCGAATGTTCTCTCTTTGCATGCTTTTTTTTTTTCACTTTTCAGATAATCTTTACAGAGTTGTTACAATGCCACAAATCAAAAGGATTATTCCAGTTCCACCAACTTAATCTACGTGCAAGATGAAGGACCCAGCTGAGGTACAAACACTGGTACCAGTTTTCTTGAGTTTGCTTTACAAAGCACAAAGAGACGAAGGTTTTGCATTGGGGTACAAAACAGATTTGCCTCTTGAGGTTAAATTCAGTGTATTATGTATATAAAGCATCCCTTTGGCAATAGAGTTTGCAGTATCCCCACAGAACTCCACAGTATAGGTTTTATGTAGTAAAATCTATTAAGGAAATTCTTTTCTACTGGACACATCTTTGCAGCTACAGTTAATGACACACCCTTGGAAACACCTGCCTCTATGCCTATTGATAATATAGTATTTGGAAGTTAAAAGTCAACACAAGGCACTTTCATCATTAAATAAATGTCCTCTGTATGAAGTAAGATTGCATGACCTAGATCTTGTTCAAAGCCGTCTGCTCCTCAAGGACCTGTAGGTAGTCGGGGGAACTCTGGAGTTTTGCCTTCAGTTCAAAATACTCGCTGCTCTTCCTTTGCTCCACAACAATTTTACTGTGGTTGCCGCCTATCAGTGACTTCTTGTTTTTTTTGTCTTGCTGTTTTTCTGGATAGCGGATCTCAAAGCCACTGACACCTATGCTATTGTACTCCTTTTTGCTTTCAAGAAAATTCTGAATAAACACATTGGAATCCCTGCTCGGGAATAATTCATCCAGCTCATCAATTGTGCTCAGTCTCTTCCTGGTATCCACGTGTAATAAATCTTTCTCCTTGTCGGCAACATTTCTCATAATGACTTTCTGTCCCGGAGGATCTGAAAACATGAATCCGGCTTCTGACTCTTTCAAGCCACAGGTGTGGCTCTTGCTCATCTGTTCGATGGTTTGTGGAATGAAAGCTTCTGTGCTCAGTCCATCTTTTTTATTGGTTTTGTGGTCATGCTTCCTCAGCTGCAGCTGCATGGAGCCACACTCAGGATTCCCCAGGCCTTCGTGTTTCACCGTGGGTTTCTTGTTTCGTCGGAGCACAAAAACAAGAAGGCAAAAAGCAACAAACACAGTTAAAATGAGGACCACTAAGATACTTAAGATTAAAATAGACAGAGGCACTGGGCCACCAGGAGGACTTCGAATGGGACCCAGCGGGGTGGTGAATGTAATGGCAGGTGCAGGGCTCGTGAATGGTGCAGATGGCTTGTTTAAGAGTTTGGGACATAAGATTTCATTTTTGAGGGACTTCAGTTCAATGTTGGCAAACTGAACAGGCGTCTCACACTTTAGTTCTTTCACAACAATCCCGTCGTTCAACTTCTCCAGCCATAGCTTTAATGCCACCAAGTCACAAGTGCAGTCCCACGGGTTACCCTCCAGGTCAATCTGTGTAAGAGACTGCAGCTGATCAAGGACTCCGCTGACAGGTAGGTACATGAATTTGTTGTTCCTCAAGTTCAGTCTAGCAAGCGGTGCTCCAGAAAAAATATAAACGGGCAGGCTCTTTAAAAGATTATTGTTTAAGTACAATAACTGTAAATTTGGCATGGAGTCAAAGGTGCCTGCTAAGATTTCCTTAATCAAATTGTATTCCAAATACAGATACTGCAGGTTATGAAGGCCTGAAAATATTTCGGGATAGAGTCTTTCGATCTGATTGCCATTGAGATACAGCCTGCGTAAATTAGTGAGATTGTGGAACACATCTCCCTTGATCACTGTAATCTGATTGCTGCCTAAATGGAGCAAATCCAGTCCTTCAAACTCAATGAAGTCTGAGATGTCCACATCTTTGATGCTATTGCCATTGACGTGTAACTTCTTGGCATTTAAAGGTTTCGGCATCAGTTCAGACATGGACTGTATATTTTTCTCTTGGCAGTTGACACTCAGTCCCAAATCCGAAGGATGTGTTTTGCAAAAGCAAGGCGCTGGGCAAGGTGTAAGAGGAGGCACCCTCGTCTGGTAAGACACAATCTGACTGAGATTGCGGTTGGAGAGGGCTTTGCCTGCCACGATTCCAGAGATCTTGGACGGATTTGTCGTTTTTGGTGGTTTGGTCACTAATCTGTGTAAGGATGTTTGGGTAGTGTGACCATTGGGAGTGGTATAGCCATTTTCCAGTTGAGATGGAGGCAGGATTCGTACATCAAAATCACTGCCCGTGCCCATAGGGCATAATTCTTGTTTGTTGGTTTCTTTTAAAAGCCTTCCATATAAGTCACTGGGCGTTTCACAGATAGCTTCTCCTATGTAGATGTTATATGGCATATTCTCCAGCCACGCTTTTAAAGGCAACAAGTCACAGCTACAGTTCCAAGGGTTATCTTCCAGCTGCAATTCGACAACACGGCCTATGTGTTCCAGAACTCCGATATAGGGGAGCTTCTGGATCCTGTTCCCTCGTATATCCAGGTGGGTCAAAGATGCAAATCGGAAAATATTATCAGGAAGGAATGAAATCAGATTGTCATTAAGAATAAGAACTTTCAGTTTGTGGAGCTTATTGAAGGCTCCTCGTTCAATATACTTGATTAAATTGTAGTCAGCCTGGAGATACTCCAAGTTCTCTATGCCAAGGAAAGTGTCAGCTCGGAGAATCTTTAATTCATTGTTGTTCAAGTGCAACTGCTTTAATGCACTGAGCCCAAGAAAGGCTCCTCCCTCAATGTTCTGCAGTTTATTATTTCCCAGCTGCAGGGATACTGCGTGTGAAAAATTCAAGAATGTATTTGGATAGAGGATATTTAAAAAATTGTTTTGGAAATTGAGGTGATAAAAATTAGACCAAGGTGGTTTCAGCTGATTTGGTCTGTAGACTGAAACCTTCTCACAGTTGACATAGAGCACATTCTCAACTGACACGCAGGAGCACACATTGCAAATTTCCATCGATATGTCAGAATCTGCATTTGTTGAAGAAATCAGGGCTGACAAAATCAGAAAGAGCCAAAGAAACATCTTCTTGCAATCAGCAAACAACTTTATGCTTCTGAATAAAGAGAAATAATCTAAAAAATAAAAAGAAAACATTTTTTCAATGATCATGATTTGGAAAATTATTTGTGTTTAAATCATACCATTGCAAACACACGGCTATAATTATTAAGCTTTGTATTTTTAAGGCACTGAAAACTCCACAGGTATTCTCACTCAGTTGAACAATAACCACCAAAAATGCCATACATTTTATTTCCATACCTGTAGTTTATACAAAATTTACACGTGCAGAACACATGACAAACAGGAAAAAAGATTGTTGATCATGCTTAAACCTTAGCAATTTGAAAACACTTTCTCTACATGGACCACTACATTCCATCCTTGAACACAAACTTAAGGTTCCTACTTGCAACTCTAATGACTGATCCCAGACCATCCTGTAGGCCAGGTAGTTAGCACCACAAAGGCCTTTCAATTTGTAGATGTCTACTCTCTAGGCTTCAGCTTGATAAGAGGCCCAGCAGAGCCCTGGGTTCAATAGAGGATGGCAATGGAAGGATGGGGATGTTTTACAGGGGACAGTCAAAAGACCAAGGAGGGAGTACTGGGAAGCGGTCTGCCTGAGCTTCAGCCCATAGGTAAGCACACTGACATGAATCAGTTCACTCCTGTACACTAATGCCTTAAAAAATACAGATGACCCTGTGAGGTTCTAGAGAAATAAGCCAGTAGGGGATGGCCAAATTTTACTTTCAGGTAAATAAACAGTATCTAGTTTCCTGTCAGTCATCTCCCAAACAGGGTAAAAAAGACTTTTGTCTTTGCATCCCTGAAAGCAGCAGAGAAACCTGCTTGCTCCTGCATTGCCTAGCTGATGTCCAGACAGCTTCCCACTCCCAAAAACTGGTCTCCTGCCTACCTGGCCCTCTCCCATTCCTTTATGTGCCCTTTTGAACCCAGCTCCGACTGACACTTGGCTCAATTGCTTCTCTCCTTCACTTTGACCACAGACTGCCACTGCTGAGGAGGAGGAGGAGTTCACACATTACAATTCTTGAGTGGCTTCATCTGCAGCGCCACACACATTTAGCACAACAAATGTTTGAAAATGTTTGACCTATAATCATCAGTTCTCAAACAACCCCTTCCCAATATTACCACCTCATGTTTCTGTCTATAAACAAATCAAGAATCACTTAGTGGAGTTTAATGCTTAGTAAATTAACCCATTGTAGCCAATTCCTTAAATACTGCATGCATATACAACTATATGCAATGCTTCATGGAAAAGATTAAAAAGAACAAGCACTGTGCATTTTATTGATACATTTTTAGCCATGTGAGTCTCTTCCATCTTGAAAGGGAAGCTGGCTGCAATTTCAATATGGTTACCACCAAATATTAATTAAATAAATAAATTACCCAGGAACACACAATGACGGAACGATACAAAGAAAGACGTGTCACACAGAAACTCCTTTGTTTATTTTGCCCACGAGGAATCAGCTAGTGGTAAAACCAAACAGATTTCAAGGTAGACAATCCATTAGCCACGACACAGGAACATTTGCATTTTAAGTAGTTTGGTTCAGAATACAGCCAGCACTGCCGAGATGCTCCTTGGCTGCCACATAGACGTACATTTCCCCTATTCACTGTGATAGTTTGATTGACAGTGCAAAAAGAAGTCATAATTCTTAAGTATGACATCATCCAAAACAACTTTCATTGTAAAATCAAAAATTCACTTGATCTTTTTGCCTTGCTATAGATGTGGGTTTCAACAGCTAATCTGGTTCAGTTGAGTCATTTCTTGTTACTACCACACCCCGCAAAATAAAAAAGAAACCAAAAAGCAATAAAACTAAAAAACAAGGCAAAAAAAAAAAAAAAAAGAAAGCCCGAATAACCTGAATTCAGTACAAAAACAAGAACAAGGAGCATCAACAGATCTGAAATTGCATAAAGAGCTGCCCTCCTCCTCGTAATTTCTACTTTAAGTAGCAAGGGAGAAAAAAAGGCGCAAGGACGATCTAGGAAGTTCCCAAATGCAGCTCCCTTAAAACAGAGGAAGCCAAGGCAGCTGGAGGCTCAGGCAAGGCAGAGGGGGAGCCTATCCGCCAAGGAGAAAAGGGAAGAGGGACTGAAGAGGCAAGACACAACGGAGAAGTGGAGAGAGGAAGAAAAAGAACTAGGGGAAGGGAACTAGAAAGAGGGGGAAGGGGCATTGAACATAAGCCAAAGAAACCTCACACTCACCTGCTACCAAGAAAACACGCACAATTTAAAATCAGGGGGAAAAAAAGGCAAAAAAGAAAAAAGAACGCACAAAGTATGAGCTGGGTATCAGAAGCCATCTCTCGGGCTGCCAGGAGCGGCTCGTTTCCCTATCTGCCTCTCCGTCTCTCTCTCCTCGCCCCGCAACACGCTAGTTTCCCACCGCCGGCCAAGACTGCACAAACCTAGCTTTACCACAAATCGGGCATCCACCAGAGTGCCGCGCCTGGAGCTCCGCGCCCGTGCGGTGGAACTGGCCTGAGAGAGGCAGACGACTGGGGATGGTGGGCCAAAGTGTCTCCCCTGGAGCTGGCACAAGAAACCTCCGTCGGTCCGCCTGGGGCAGCGGTGGGGGGCTCCGCGGAGAGACACGGTCACTGCCACCCCCGTGCGCTACCTCGGGCCGGCAGCGACGCGGCTGGAGGAGCCGCTGGCGATGGCGCGTACTGCAATGTTTTGCCGCATCCCAGTGCCCGGAGCCGGCACGCAGCCCCCTCCCGGGTCCCAGGCCCAAGCAGCGGCCTCGTGGGCCAGGCAGCGGAGGCGGGGACCGCTCGGAATGTCGCGGGGGCCTTCAGCCCCGCTGCGCACACATTTCTCCGCGCGCTCCGGTCCCACAAGGGGCAGCTGCTAGAGTTTCTGTCGGCCTCTCTAGATCAGGCATGCGGTGGTTGAGGGGGAAGAGATGGCCAGCTCAGGCCACGAGGGCGATGGCCACTGGGGAGTCACTGACCCGCTTGTCACAGGCAGAGTGACCCCGTGGCTCGGTGACCAAGAGCGGCGGCCCAGGCTCCCCCTTGCCCGCACCCCTTCCCCTGGCCAGCCACATAATGCTGCTCTCACCAAGCCAGAAATCAGCTCAGCATTTGGGCATCTAGCAAAGTCGCGCTGCCAGTGCTTGCCGGGCTTTGCAGGGCTTTTAGAGTTACCCACCAGCTTCTCTCGTATTCCCTGCCTTGCTGGGTGCCAGCAATCTCCGACCAGCTCGCGGGCCACTGCCGGGAGCCCCAGATCCACGTCCGCCTAGAGTGCCTGCGAGGGGGGCGCAGAAAACAAAGCCTAGCCCAGCGCAGCGGTCCCAATAGCCCAAGCTGCCCCAGACCAGGACACTTTCCCCGCCGCCCCGGTCGCCCGGGAGGCAGCGATGCTAAGGACACCGGATTCTTTCGGTCCTCAGGGACTTGCCGCGCCGTGGGCAGGCAAACGGGGGTGGCGCGAGGGGTAACCACTACGGCCGCTTCAGCCACTCAGCCGGCCCCAAACCAACATGACCCAAACTAAAAATAATAAGCTACCTGCCCCCCTCCGCGCGCACGCGCGCGCGCGCGCTCTCTCTTTCTCTCTCTCTCTCTCTCACACACACACACACGCGCGCGCGCGCGCACTGCCAAGCCGAGCAGGGAAGAGGCAGCGCGTGTCGGTGCAGCTCGCACAGCCCCCGCTGGAAATTCACCAACCTCTGGAGCCCGGCGGCTCTCACAGGGTACGCCGCGCCGCGATGCGCCCTGCAATGTCCGCGATGGTCTCTACGTGATTCGCCTCGAGCTCCTCCGCGCCCCAGCTGCTCCGCGTCCGCTCGCCGGTCAAACCCACCGAGCAGCCCTCGCAGATCAGCAGGCGGGCAGCGGCGCGCGCGCGCACCCGGCCAGACACCGCGCGCGCACCCAGCCCCTGGCACACGGGCTCTACCTTTACATACACGCGCCGAACCCCCGTCCCCGCCCCCCCCGCACACTCGCAGCCACCCCCCACACTCAACCACCTCGACTCCCGCAAATTCCTGAGGCCTCCCCGTCCCCCACCAAGACGCCTCCACTTGATTCCTCTTCTACCCACACAGCGGGAAAGACAGCGCACTTTCCTCCCGGCATCCGCCTCCTCTTTTTTGCCTAAAACACCCCCTAGGTAGGAGCGACCCCTTTCCTCATGCGTAGAGACCCCAGTCCCCCAACACGGGCGCAACAGCCTCCATCCCCCCCCCCACATACACGCACACTCGAGTCCTTTCTCCTCCCCCAGTCCCCTAAGAACGAAGGCACACAAACACACACGCACACACACACGCACACGCACAACCGGGGCGTTCCTTTGAGAGAGCAACCAAGAACCCAGGCAAAGCCAAAGAAACGTCGGAGAGCCTGGGGGAAGGGGGATCCAGGGAGGTAGATAGGGGCGTCGAGTCTACGCGGAATTGAATAATTCCAGGATCCAGGGGGGTGAGTCAACAACAATGACATTCAAAGGCAACAATCGCACTTGGGTTTTGTATCACGGTACCTTTGGCTAATTGTCACCCCGCAGAACAGAGGGCTCCAGGAATACTTCGGTAGCGGGCGATCCTGGATGGAGCTTTCTTGGGACCAGTTTCTTGGGATCCGGCAGTATTCGCACTCCCCCTACCTGTCTGCGCAAAAGGGGTTGGGGGCTTTAAGGCAAAAGTGTGAAGCTTTAGCCCAAAGTGAGACTATTTAGTGGGTTTAGGAAGAGACGGGTTAAGTCTCTGCACCTTAGAACTCTGAGAGCCTTCGGTGCAGAACGGGTTAAGCAGGGAGATTAAGGAGCTGGGGGTGGGGAGAAGGGATAGGGATAGAGGAGAGGGAGGTGTGGGACTAGGAGAGATGCCGCACTTGCGACCAAAAGAAGGAAAAAAAAAAAAACGTGCTTTGGCTGCTGAGCATGCCCAGTTCCCAGCTCTAGCCCTATAAGGGAGGCATTGTGTGCGTTCCACTTCTCCGGGCTTTCGTGGTGACCGGGAGGGGACTTTAGTTGGGGAGGGTGGTGGTGAATGGGAGACTTTAGGAAAGGGGGACAAGGTTTGGAGCTTTGGGGCTGTGCAGAAGGGTCTGTAAAGAAGGAACAGGAAGAGACCCACAGGGTAGCTCGGGGAGACAGAAAAGGAGACAAAATAGACTAAGAAAAGTCACTTCAGTAGCCCCCTCATTGTCGTTTCTATACCAAAGAGGCTTTAGCAGTTGAATCTCAAATATCCAGAGGCTGCAAATCCAGCGTGTGGATTATCTAGGCTCCTTTCTTCTACCCATTTGTTAGTGCCTCCACAAGAGGGTAGGAATGCCCTCAGGAAGGGCTAATGTTCAAACCAGCTTCATGCAGTGGTAATTGAGTTAATAAGCTTAGTAAGAAAGCAAATGTACCTGTGGGGGGGAGGAGTTGGGCTATCACGTATGTAATTCAAATACCTGGCTTTCAGAACAAGAAGAGGCTAAAACGGTCATTTTGCTCCCCTCCCCACAACCTTGCTGTTTTTGTAGATACTTGGCTAAGAAAAACAACCTCTCTCTTTACTTTGTGTCTGTGGGAATAAACTGGCTTTATGTAAATAGAGCTAAGTTATAAATGGGAAGTATTTCCCTAGGAATCCAAGTAGCCCATTCTTTGCCACATTTCAGGTAATATGGCAGGGCCCATTTCTTCAGGGCGTATGTTCTGGTTAATCCACTTATTAAAATTTCAGTAGCTCTAGCCACAATAGGATATAGCCAGTACCCAGAAATGCTTTTACTTAAAAGTGAAAAACTCTTTAAGCTAAAACTAGTAATAGCTTTGAAACCAGAATTTGGCTGTCTGCCTGAACTCCTCCAGTTAAACATTTACCATAATTGGTTGATGTTTAAAGGCCTCAAATCTAGGCAAAAAATCTGATGAACAAAGGATTTATTACATTATTTGTGGCTACTGTTCTAACTTCTATATTATCTGTAGTACCTATTCATATGTAAGTATAATTTTTTTCATTTTTGTCATTTCATGAAGCTGCCTTGAGGTTATATTCATGCAAATGTTTGCTGGGCACAGCATGTATACAGAGATGCACACACAATATTTAAATGAATACTTAGATATGTGTATATAGGCATATTTCATTATGACCTTGGTACATATTGCATCTCTCATAAAGAACCCTTTCTCCACCCCCACTCCTCATTGCCCTTAAAAATTTCATCTTCTCTTTTAGCAACAAGCTAGATGCAGAAATTGAGTGGGCAGCAGTGGTAAAATTTGCTATATTCAATGTGAAATCCATTACGTGATAGCATTGCTTAAGGAAGCATGAAAGGATCCGTCCATAACAACATATGTACTTGTGCAGCTCCTCTTAGTAAGGTGAAATTTGTTTCCTCCATAGGTAACAGCTGCAGTATGTTCAAAAATCCCTCTACTGTTGTACATTTGAACAAAACAGATCCTGCTAATTAAGAACTCACATTTGCATTATATTGTATAATGCAATTTGAAAGTGGTAATGGATACCAAAATAAGTTGACATTTATTCTAAATGCAAAGGATTCAGGAAGCTACAATATATTTTATCAGGATAGGTGAATTGTTTGTCCTTTACTATAAATGTTAACAAGATTCAATAGAATGAGCAAAAAAAATTTTACCTGAAAATATAATGCACATTCCAAGTACTGTGATAGCTGAAAAGGCCAGATTTGGACAGTAAATATCAGATGATTTAAATGCCTATCTTTATTTAACTTTAGAAACTGTTCTGAGAGTTGACTATATTTGACTGCAATAACTGTGGAACGTTCTTTTTCATATGAGTATAGAGACAGAAATCTGAAAACAAGTACAGCTAGAACATCAATAAGTTACAATTAATAATAGTGTTAAGAACTTATCAGTGATATCCAACTCATTAAAATGAATGCTTTAATATAAAATATATTCCTGCTTAAAAATGATTAAGTGGATATTCATAAAAATGACATATAAGTAACAGCTCCCATGCCTTCTGCTTCTTTTGCATTCAAAGTAATTTAAAAACCCAATCCTTTAGTCCTGCAGTCTCTTTTCTGTCTCCTAGAGCTACATGCGCTATCCATATAGAACAATAGTAAACTAAGAGAAATTCTTAGCTTAAAAAAAGGGAGTACATATATAAATAAATAAAAGTGTTAAGAAAACTCTAGCACTATTTATGGCAATTGAAAGAAAAACAAAGTTGATGTTCTTCCTTAGATATATGAATGCAAATGTTGTGAGATGGATTTGCAATAGCCTCATAGTTTTTCCTCAAATGTTTCACGTACTTAATCTTGGCTTGGCAAGGAGTACAACTAGAACCATAGGACAACGCTGATATAGTGTGTCTCCCTCCTTCAGGGCAAATAAACAACTGCACCAAGAATTTTACCAAGCTCCTGAATATCCTTAATTCCAAAGGCAGTTTTAGTCAATCAAATACCAGCAACCAAAAATGATTATAACACCAAAAACCTTGGCCCTCGTCAGTGGTCTTTCACTTTCATTATATTCCTCATTCATTCTGCTTGTCTTGCTGCTGTTTAAAATCAAATTAGCTTTAATTTTGCTATCCAGGTATCACAGATCATTCTGTGTATCTTAATTTTGAAAATTTATTTATTCTCTGGCATTTTAAAAATTCACAAACTTGGCATTTCTCTAAGTAGATGACAAGAAAGTTCTTAAGATGTTAATATATCATCTTTGAAGAGATGTTTCTATGATCAAATAAGTTTAGAAGACCCTTGATTCTGTAAACCTAAACAATTTTTTTAACTTTGGAATTTTTAGCAAATTCAATTATATTGAAAGTGGCTTCTGACTTACGAGGGGAAAGGAATATAGCATGTAGCATTTCTCAAACTTATTTGACAACGGAATACTTTTTTTTGTGATCATATACACTTTGAGAAATCTTGTACTAACTGCTCATTTTTGCAAATTTTGTGGAATTTAGGAGCTGAAAGGTAGCTTTCAGATCATAATCTAATC